GGGGGGGGGTCCAGAAATCGTTCACTAGGACAGACCCAGTTACGTCAAAGTTATGTCCAAGGTAAAGATAAACTGAACTATAACAGATACTAGAATAACTATCAGAGTAACTCTCGTCAGCGACATGGTCAGCCATTATAATATCATTTTCATATTTCATTCTATTTTATCATTCTCCATGTATCAGCTTGTAAAGATCACCAAGCCAATAAAGATTAATAAATCGTGTACTTTATCTATAAACTCTGAAAATAAAAATTAAATTAGACGATTAGTCAATTATTATATGATTTATCCTTCCTGTGGAACTGATGCTGGGTTTCTATATGATTCTGTACAAGATGATTTCACTCGCGTTTACGCCATTTAAAAAGTGTTTGTCGGTATTTTTCACAAATTTTCCGGTAACATTCTAGAAACACGCCATCTTGTATAGAACTGATCGGAGCGGTTTCGCAGATCAATAGGACTAGGAGGGTAAGCATGGATATGCTACTATTGCTAACCGAGTAAGATTTTTCTGATTTTGTTTTTGGTCGGTTTGCAAATGCACATAACCCGGTTTTAGAAGACGACAAATGATCAATTCTTTTTTCATTTTATTTTATTTTACAGAGGCAGGCATAACCAGAGTTCGCTGCAGTTACGAGTTCTCTCCAGGCATCACACCGGCCCCAGCCTTTCCATGGTAAAAATATAGTTATAAAAGAGTGTATTCTCAATTCTCATAATTGAGTTTCACAAAAAAGAAGGAGATTCAAGACACTTTGTTTGGTTCTTTTTTAACTTGAATGAGATCATGACATTTTCAATTGTCACTTGGACTCGGACATGAAACTAGTTTATAAACGTGCCCCCCCCCCCTTTCTAACATTCCTCTCCCCCCTTTTTGTATTGTTTAGTTTCAGAAATACATATACACATATTATAGATTATAGATACATGTTCTGATGATAAGGATTGTAGTGTTTGGTGTGTCCTGAAATCATTAAGACGTCAGGAAAGATATTTTTAAAATTTCACATTTTTTGTGTTCTATTTTAATTTGATTATTATGAATATCATGCAATATGATGTTCTTACTTTAACAAAAGAAACAGTTATAGTCTTTTAAAAATTCGATCCATGTATAATTTAAAAACATTTGATCAACGTACAGTTTACCTGTTATTTTTTTGGACACTCTTTGCGTAAAGTGTGAACATTACGTAATTTGATTGTATTTGAATAATTTAGAATTATTATTATCTAGTCGACTAATAGCTTTTAAAATAAACACATGTTAAACACATATATATATATATATAAAAACCCAAAAAGTAGCTGGAGTCTAAATTTGGGACCAAAGATGAAGATTTTGTAGCAAGTTTTTTAAGATTTCCTTTATAAAAAAAAAATTTGTAAGATCACATTTACATTGCAGTCAAAATGTGATTTTTGATACTTGTGAATTGTCAATGTATTTGCATGACGAGAAAATGAGGAACTAAGTGAATTTCAGTTTCAGCAATCAATCATGTTGTTTTAATCAATAGAAATGGAGTAAAAATGTCCATTATTGTGTTCAACAGTTCTCCCAGTGTAGTCTACCATTGGCTAGATAAATCAACAAGAAGAAATCTCAGGTAGATATAAATCCAATGATATCAAAATTTATCAATTTAGAACATTTTAGGTCATTACAACTATTTTTTGGCTTGTTTGAACTACTTTTTTTCTCATATGAAATATTTGTTGGCTCATTTTAACTATTTTTTGCTCATCTGAACTATTTTTTGCTCATATGAACTATTTTTGGTTCATTTAAACTATTTTTTCAATCATTTGAACTATTTTTTTAATCATTTGAACTATTTTTTGGTTCATTTGAACTATTTTTTGACTAATTTTGAAATATTTTCATTAACAGTTCACTGTTCAAATGAGCAAAAAATAGTTCAAATGCTCACAGACTGTTATCGTTTGAACTACTATACACGCGGTACCACGTGCAATAGTTCAAACGACCAATTGTTCAAAAAGTCAATAGTTCAAACGGCAGTAGTTCAGACTGTAAATAGCATCGTATGCAATAGAAATGCGCAAGTATGAACATGTTGAACATTAATAATATCTATAATTCTTACACTATTAAACAATGCTTTTAAGGATATACCGTAAACAAGTTTTTTTTTCGAATTACAAGTTTACTCGTTAATCAGTGAGAAGCTTTTATGAATGATACATTCTCTTGACTTCTATGTTTATGTGTATCTATGCTGTTTAACAGTTCGATATAAATCAAAATTTAAATCGAAAGACGTCTTCATTGTCTTGATTTAATCACCTACCACCGTATGAAGGAAGAAATATGAATACCGTGTGGGAGAGCGTGGAAGTGAAGTTGACCAGCAGCTGACAGCTATATTCTCACCGGTTATACTCACCTCACAGATCCTGCAGGAGGACAGGGATAATATAGGTTAGAACTAGTTTAGATACAGTGAGAACCAGAAACCTCTGGAATGGGAAGACGGAATTAAAGAAATTCTTAAGTGTCTTTGATGATGATGTTAAATAGAAAAAGTTTCACAAGTAACAGAATAAATCATTTATTGAGTCGTATTCCCATTCCACAATTTTCTGGTTCTCACTGTATTATCTTTTTATAAACTATTTTAAGAAAATCTAAATCAAATTAGGCATGAACAAAATCAGTGTATGCCTAAATGGCACAGTTTCTTCCCATGATTGAAAAGCTATTGATAGCGAGGTCATATGTTAAAATGTTTTAAATTTGTACAATGTATTAAGATTGGTACAACATAAGATTTTCGACGGGGTAAAATGTTTTTTTTCTGACTGTAAACTGTATAACTTAAGAGAATTTCGATTTCGATTTCTTTCTCATCATTTCAGTCCTATAGGAACGCTGAAACGCGGGGAAAACTTTTTTTAAGTCCTGCAAAGTGTTAAAATGACTGTAGGTAGATTTTATTTCAAGTGCATCCCTTCTTTATAAAGTGGTATATCACTATACAGAATATATGTTTTATATTGGCATGTTCCATTTGCAGATTTAAGAAATTCGAAAGAAAATCTTTTCTGTAATCCTAGAAAAAATGTAAATTTGTATAATTACAAAACAAAATTAGAAGCTTTTCCGCGGGTAGAATAAGGATAACTCTATCTTGGACGGGACCTCGGTATCGTAAAATGAACATGCCATCTCTTCCTACAAATGGAGGATCACTTTAAAACTTTAAACCATTAACTTTATAAGTACAGTTATTTTAAACAAAATAGGAGGGAGTCTCAAAGTTATTATCTGATAATCTGAGAAGCATAGTCTTGTGGCCCGTTTTGAGACATTTAGGGGTTTTGACCTGTAAAGCGCTCCAAAAAAATATGAGTACCTAAACACGTTGCAAAATTGTATTGCTTTTGTTACATTTGTTACATTTTGCTATTTTTTTTCTCTGGTCAAAGATATTAGCCAAAACGATTTTTCTGAACGGAAAACGAATAAAGATTTTGAAAAATCGTTTTGCAGTTTACATCTTCTGTCAGAGTAAAATGTTTGCATAATGTCATAAAAAACAAACTGGTCTAGCATGCAATTTTTGAAATGGGATTTTCATCTCAGATTCTCAAGAAGCCTCTTAAGAGTCTACAAACTTTAAATGTTTAAAAACGGACCTCAAAACGATAGTATAATGTTTTTTACTTTAGAATTTTTTGAGCTTGCTAATAAGTCAGTGTACTGTTTTTACTTTGCAGAATTCACAATTATTGTTTTAATTACAAGAGGTGTATGCTCAAAGGTAAATTTTTATTATAAAATTATTTTTTGATAAAATATACAAATATATCTATGTATATAATCTTTGTAACTAGGTTCAGGTTGGTAAAAATAGACGTCATGTTAACACGTACATTGTACATTACATTTACCATAGATTAATTATAATAACAGATAGGACACTATTTGTCGTCTTTTCAAGATTGAGAAGTGTTTCATTCACAATAACCCTGAGGCAGAAGCCCAAAGGAGTTACGCGTAGTCGGCGTAGAACAGGCTCTCTCTCTGTCTTGTAAATGTACAGAGAGAGTGCCTATTCTACGCCAACTATGCTTAACACCTTTGGGCTTTTGCCTCAGGGTTATTGTGATCGAAATAATTCTATAATCTTGAAAAGGCGACATCTAAATGTCTTATCTTTTATTTTAATTAATCTATGACATATACATTGTACAGTGTACACTGTACAGTAAACACTGTGGAATGCAAGGTTATAATGCAAGGAAAGTTAATATGTATACTCTGCGTACATATTGAAACCAGGTCTCTCTGGGAGGAATTTGTAAACAAGAATAGATGCATCTGTGTTCGTTTAGTATCCGAGGAGGTTAAAAGCATTTAATTTTGGTAATTTTGATAATTCACATAATAGTTTCCTATGACCAGAATATTTCATTGATTTTTTATGTGAAAGATGGATCCCATGTCAGGCTTCGACATCCGTCTTGTGTTTACATTACCGTCCAGAGACAGTACACTGCAGTACAAAAGATGCGTACACCTCTGGAATAACTTTCCTTGCATTATAACCTTGGTGGAGTGTGTTTTGTCAGATTTTGATAATGCAATACTTTTATTTTTTTTATCCATGCACATTCAAATAAATCTTGCAGGTTTACCTTCAAATGACGAGACTGTAAAGACGACTTGAAACTTTCTAATATAACAATCCCAAGTTTAGATTAAGTATTCTGCCTTAAATGTGGGTTTTAATCTTATTTAATGATTTGGCAAAGTTTATGGTTGCAGGGAAAAATGAATTTGAGTGAACAGACAGTATATATTCCGTACAGTCGTCATTGAAGTGAACAGACAGTATATATTCCGTACAGTCGTCACTGAAGTCTCATCCTTTGTGGGTAACCCTGTTCGTAAATGAACATTAACACTGTGCTCTGAATTTTGTAAGATTTTGAAAATGCTAGTTGACTTTACTAAAAAATAAAAATAAAATTGAAACTATTTATTGATTAGGAATCTGTGAAGGGCATTGGAACCTGTTTATTAAAACAGATTCAGCTGCTGTGCGGACCTGATCTAAACAGACTCAATCAAACAAAATATAAAATTAAGGAAAAAACAAAAATTTGTTAAAATATGCTCAATTCTTGATATTTTATTAATAACAGTGTATCTAATTGCTTTCTCATAAGTCATAATCAGTCCTTTTAAAAACCAGGAAAGATAAAACGACCTATAAAAGATTTTGATAAAACGACAAAAGATTTTGATAAAACGACATAAGATTTTGATAAAACGACAAAAGGTTTTGATAAAGCGACAAAAGGTTTTGTTAAAACGACAAAAGCTTTTGATAAAACGACAAAAGATTTTGATAAAACGACAAAAGATTTTGATAAAACGACAAAAGGTTTTGATAAAACGACAAAAGATTTTGATAAAACGACAAAAGGTTTTGATATAAAACGACAAAATGTTTTGATAAAACGACAAAAGGTTCTGATAAAACGACAAAAGGTTTTGATAAAACGACAAAAGGTTTTGATAAAACGACAAAAGGTTTTGATAAAACGACAAAAGGTTTTGATAAAACAAGTAAAATGACAAAAGATTTTATTAAAATGGCAAACGATTTTGAAAATTAAAGACAAAACGTTTTTTGATAAAGCGATAAAAAAGTTTTGATAAAATGTCAAAAACTACGAAAGGTGTTGATCAAATAATGAAAGGTTTTTTGATAAAATGACAGAAGGTTTTGATTAAACGACAAAAAGATTTTGATAAAATGGCCAAAAGATTTTGATGATTATTTGTTTCTCTGAAGATGAACTGTATATCTGCGAGCGTGTTATCCTGTCTAAAACATATGAATAACGACGACATTCGTTTACAACTTGATTCTCAGGTAAATAATACAGGGTGTCCCAATAAACATTAGAATTCAGTGACGAATTCGATATCTTCTTTATAAATAATTCTTTGATTTAGTATAGTGATAACTACTGAGAGGCTGTAATCTGTAAGAGTTTCGTCTGCTTGTTCACATTTTGTTTTTATGTTTTGACTGCATAAGGATGTACTTAGTAAAACCAGAAAATTGCAGTTTACAAACAGAGTAAACTTGTCCGTCTTTACTGTTCATCTTGCAGAGACATTATAAACACATATTTACAGTCTTTTCATAAAGTTAACTCTAGCAGACATAATAATATTATGGCTTTTAAAATTAGGTATTACAATACTGATTCATAACAAAGAGATATCGAATTCGTCGCTAAATTCCCATGTTTTTGGGACACCCTGTAGTACAACCTATTCTCAAATCTAAAAGATTGAATTATCGCGGTAACAGAGAGTGACATTTTATGATTATTTCATTTCATCTTTCTTAATTCAAATCTTTTCTACTTTTACATTACAGTTTGAAATTTTAGCGAAAGCGAAAAAGTTTAAATTAATTTCCTTACTTTACTTTCCCTCACCCCTGTATGCCGAGTCCATTAGCGCCTGATCCAATCAGGGTTCATCCATGTGTTTGATGTCTATTCTGAACCAATAGAAATAGTATAGGCGGTAACATCTATCTTTCTATCTATCTCATTATCCAATTAGAGTTATGAATCCTTCAATCGGCGCTATCAGTAAATAGAAATATTTACTTCTACTGAAACTATAGTGCTCTGTAAAGGGACTGTTTTCATGGCGTAATTTTTAAGTGTCTCCATTAAAAGAGGAACCCGGGACAACGTACAAGTGAAACCTTCTTCTGATCAATGATGTGGGAGAAATATAATATGCAGTTTTATTCTTTATTTTTCTATCTTGATAATTCTGATAATTTCTCTTGGTTGTCCTGCAGTAGGAACTTTTGAAAATATTTAGTTTTCAAATTGATAAACATTGGATATTTAATTCATACTTGATCAGACAAAGCCTTTCAGGATAACGTTGTGAATCGGACATGCAATTCTATAAATTACATTTACAGACCCTTTAAGATGAACTTGATATGCTCTAATTTTACTTCTTTATAGTTTCTAGTCTATATTTATTACATCAAATATATTATTTATATTACGCAATTAAAAATATAACGTTTAAAATTTCAGACCTTTTCCTCCATCGAAGATTATTGGTGGGGCTTATATACAAAAACACTTATTTTAGGTATTTTTTAATTCTTTAAAATTCTGGAAAAAAAAACTATATTCGTAGCTGCACATTCTGCACAGTGCACATTGCGTTGATCGAGAATATTATGTGAACAATACAAAAAGATTTAAAATCTGGTTTATATTTGATATTTTCTTTCACGTGCAACCCTTCATTTGAAGATTCACAACAGTACGTTTTCAACCTTCTTCTGGCCAAGTATGAAAACTATCCCTTTTTTAGTTTATGTAAAGGTTTGAAGGGGACTGTTGTGAATCAAACTATGTCTTCACTTTCCAGTCTTTTAAACATTAAATCATGATTCAAACAATGCTTAAAAACGACGACATTTACAATTTTCTCAGAATTTGTTTGTAATAAATCCATTATACAGTCGTCGTCGTATATATCGATACAATGAAGACGACTTTCGATATAAATTTGTTATTTCTACCAAGCTTTCAAACAGCATAGATACATATAAACACTGAAACAGATAGAAACTGTCAATTAACAGCTTCTCTTTCTTTTCTTGTAAACCTGTAATTTGACAAAATAAAGTTCAAAACTTAATTAGAAAAGTCTATATTGTATTGATATATTCACCGACCACTGTATTTAGACAAGAAATCTGAAGAATGGTGGAAGGGAAAAGTTTCTCTAATTCTGAAGAATCTTGAGTCAAACAGTATTTTAGGTATTTTTAAATCATTTAACTAATTAAGTAAAAAAGCAATTTTCTCATCTCTTTGTCTTATGTTAAGCTTGTATACAGTGAGAACCAGAAATCTTATTTAATTCTAAATTATAAAATCTCTTTACAGATTTTTAATCTACATTCTACAGCATTGTACTATTTCTGAACATTTTTTCTAGATATTAACTAACGTTTAAAACGATTTCAATTTGAAAAACCCTGAGCAATTTCTTCAGTAAAACTAAGGAATGCCAAAAACGTCATTTATTGAACAGTTTTCTGGTCTCATTGTATAATGTACACATTAGTTACCAGAAAACATTTGAATGGATGTCGTCTTTGCTCTTTCTTTTTGAAGACATTACTCAGTTATGATAATTACATATTACAAACTCATCTAAGCAACATTAATAAATTTAAATAATGAATGAAGAAGGTTAAATTTTATTTAACAATTTGTTACTTAGATTAAATACTAAAAAGGTTTTTTGGGGAGAATTGTTGGTAAACAATAACCTTACTTCTATTTTTTCTAGGCGAGTTTTCAAATATTCATCTTGCCGTAATGAATAAAAACTTTACTCTGGGAGCGTTGGAATCTTTGCACTCTGTTAGATGTCGTCTTCCTGTGGAAGATCTTCAGGTTAAAGTTAAACATCTTCTTTGATTAACGCATTAATTTCGATATTATAGTTCAGAATACCAAAAATATTAAAAAAAAATGAGAAACATGAATTTATGGTATTTTTTTTAAAGATTTAGAGTGTATTTATTTGGGAATGATATATCTTGATTGTTGATGATGCTTTCTATAAAATCCAGTTCTTATTTTGAGCCTAGTAAGGGCTATCCAAGCTTTCTGTGAACTTTTATGTGGAGTAGTGTTAATCTTGGACGAGTGATCTAGATATCCATTAAAGTTATCCCTGAAGGGTATAACTATCACGGGATCTACTTAAGAACGAGATCAAGGCTAAATCCAGAGATTCACAATACAAAAGTTCTGGTTTCAGGTATTCTTGAGAGCTAAGCTGAACCAGATCTCTGTGGTTGAAGGAGGACTGACAGGGGACTGGGACCAGGATCTAGAACTAGTTTTTCTACGGGGACACATACCCTGTACAGTCTGGTGTACTGAGGTAAAGTATTTGTATTTTTGAAGAAGACATTCGTGAGTAGATCGTTATTTCGCAAAATTTGACAATTCCAGATTTTATAGACTAAAAGTTGTATTTCAGGTTGAAAGTGCTTACCTAGTATTGATTCTAGAATGGAGAGTAGATATCATCAAATTGAAAATACTTTATCTTTGTTCAGGTAATATTTTTCAACATAAACCCTCAAAACTTTGAAATGATTTCAATTCCAAACCTTCAAAAGTACTGATTGTAAACATTCAAAAGCAACAATTCTAAACCTTCAAAATTTACAATTCTAAACCTTAAAAAGTTACAAATCTAAACCTTCGATATTTGCAATTCTAAACCTTCAAAATTTACAATTCTAAACCTTAAAAAGTTGCAATTCTAAGCATTGAAAAGGTATAATTCTAAACCTTCAAAACCCTTCAATATTTAAATTCAGACTTTTGACTTTTAAGAGTTAAATCTTTCTTGTTTTCATTTTTAATATTTTAAGACTAAAACTTTAAATTTAGATTTAATAGTTTTTTTCATCCTTTTATATTTTTCCTAGTGTTGTTACACCAGAAAGAGGATAAATGGACAGAACTTCGAAACCTGATCATCTCTCATAAACCCCAGTGTAGCAACCTACCCGGAGCAGAACTAGTCTTGGCTAATAAGTCCCTGGAAAATATTCGTTCTTTGTACAAATATGTTCGAGCAGAGTTAGGCAATATATCTAGATTTACCGGATTTGTCCAGATCTCAAAAAACAAATTCTTTTTCTCCGTCCTGGATAAGTTTCTCCGGGTCAAGGTTCGACATCCGCCAAACTTGGAATCGGAGTCGTGCAAAGTTAAATTAAGAAGTGTCATTGCAAACCTTATTCAGGTTCGGATTTATAATCACTCTTTGCGGAAGTTAGTTGTACTAGACTTAGAGGATAACCTAGAGGTGGCTAACCTCAGTATACCTAGGCTAACTCCGACTAACAATTTAATTTTGTGTGAAACTGATCAGAGTGAATTTTCTGAGTTTAAAGTGTTTAGAATGAATTTCAGGACGGATTTGAGAACCCCTCTAGCTCCGGGTACTCCTGTAGGTACAGGAGACAAGGACGGATCAGGATTAATCTCTCTTATTGCAGTATTCCCGAGCTATACTCAGCTAGACGCCGGTCAGCTCAGCCTGGCTTGTGTTAAATTCTACGTGGAGAATATATCAAACTCAAGTCATATTACAGTCTACATGGTTTCCTTTCTTACTTCCGAAATAGAACAGATAAAATACATCTTAAAGCAATTTGGAAGGGTCACTCATCCCTTCCTGATTCGCAAATTTACCCTTTAATCTCTTTAGTGATAAATAGTGTGAAAGATATTATTGTTTTTCTAGCTTGAAAATTGTTAAATACTAAATCTTCTTCCGTTGTATCCGTAGCATAATTTTCAAGTCACTTTTTATAGAAAACACACAATTCAAAAATATCAATTTTCAAAAAAGCAAAACATGGATATCTTACTTATTCCTTATCAAACAAAGGTTTTATGGGTACCTCTATATAGTCTCTTTAATTTTAACATGTTTTGATATTGATAAATAACTCTTTATACACTTAAAAGTGTAATGATTACTTATCAATCTATGTTCTTAGCTAGTCATAAACGTGGCGCAAATCTTAAGAAACAAAGTATGTCTGAATTATGGCATTTTCATTGCAAAACTTCTTGATAACGAATTTAATCGCATGTAACAAAGTTTAGGTTTGCTTATCACACTTATAGGAAATTACAATCTTATTAAGTGGAACATCTAAAAACAGATATGCATAGCCGAATCTAAAAGAATTATCAAGTCCTTGATTTGAACCAAATCAAGTTGCGTACAAAGAAAAAAGAATTTGTTTGCACATTTAAGAATTATCATATCACAACCATAAGAACAAGATAAAAAGTTATTCATTGTTATTCATGACTTATATTGTTTTGCTATTATTCGGCTGAAAATTCAATAAGACTGAGATATCTTCATTTTTTTCCCAACCCGGATTAAAATTGGTTTTATGTAATTTTTATGGGTCAAAAAAGTAAAAATCTTTCAAGGAGATCTTTGATGGATAAGTTAGGCTAAGTTGTGATCCTAGGTAACCAAAATAAGGTTAATATGTGTAGTTTTAAAATTGGTGAACATTCCCTTTTGGAGTAACCGACCCCGGTCTGTATCAATCTGTCTCATAGTTTCTATTCTTTTGAAGATTTCTAAGTTTCAAACCAAGAAACAAGACATATTAAGTTTTTTATTCCATCGTCTCTGTATTCTTTCTTTTCAAGGAATTGTTTATCTTTTCAGAAATACTAATAGTACCCTAAATAATTCAGTCGTTTGAATAAACGCTAAACGTTTAATCGTAGACCTTTGATATTTCAAACTATGAACTCTGTAAGATCAAATAATCGAAAGTTTGAAACGTCAAAGGTTTACACCTTTAGATTACAAAGATATTGTGATTAGAAAATTTTAGTTTGTGGCATATAGTCTTTTCTTATCGCTTAAAGATATTCCATCGCGTGTTTACCTAATAAATTTCAAAATCTGTAGGGATAACTGACCCTTTATCATTTCCTGCTACCGATTGTCTTGTCTACGCTGTCCGCCAAACCTTTAATTGATCTCATATTTCGTCTTGTCTGCAAACATGAACAGATGCGCGTCTGCCAACCTGTCGCGCGTGCTCTGCCCGGCGTGCTTGCACGGTCTAGTAGTTAGGTAATGACCGGAAACCGCGCTCCACTAGCTGTGAAATACACCAACGCAAGCTGGGGGGCCGACCTGCTCAAAGTGACCTGCGCGGTTTGTATTACATATCAATTTACATATCAAGACATACAAGATAAAATTTTACTGATGCTAACTTATATATTTACAAATTAGGATTATTTCTGAAACAATATCATATGTAAATGTGATACTGAATATTTGTGTAGAACTAGTAAACACTAATCTTAAATTATTATTTTCTCTTTGATTAATTTTTCATTTTTACCCTATTTCAATATATGTCTTAAACTACTTGGCAATTAGGGTTTCCTTCCCAAGTTCCCAAATTGAAGATGTAATTCCAGATAATTTTTGAACTTTTCATGGATATACTTTCCTATTCAATGTATTATTACTATTTTATGAAAGGCATCTTGAACATTGTTTTGATTATAGAACAATTCCCCACAATTTCTTCATTTTGGCCTTTTTTCATTCTATGGACATTCCACATTCCAATCCACATCTTCTCTTTTTGGCTAAATGTTATCCCTGCGCTGAAAAATAAATTGCACTTTTTTTTAATTAACTTTAATTAACATTTTAAATGATAACTCATTGAAGAGGTATTGGTACAGTATTGTTTTTAATTCCTTATATGTAACCGTAAATTTTTTCTCAGATTTTTGCATAAAATCAAATCCAGAGGAGCTTTGAGGTCACAGAGTTGCCCCAATAATGTCGCATATATGTGACCTTCTCTTTCTGTTAAGTTTGCAGTGTATTGTATGCAGTGCGCGTGTTTGCTCGAGTACAATTTTATACACCCTATCGTGGTGTAATTTTTCTAAATATATTTCATAAATTTTAATTTCATTTTGAGACAGGACAGTTTTTGCGAGCTTCTGGTTATTACTCTTCAAATTTCAACCTATTTGTATGAAAGAGCCCGCGTTTAACTGACAAAACGCTTCTAGGCGTTGATGACTCAAAACAGATTTAGTTTCAGAAAAACAAATTGTATAAGTTTACACCGAAAACAAGGGCTTACTCTCCATTTATAGAATAGAATACTTAATTCATAAAATGGTAACTGTCAAACCTTACATCTGAACAAGGATGAATAAGATATCAGAAACTTATTTTCAATTGTGGTTTCTCTTTACAAGCGGATTTATGCTGCTGAAACAATAAAGAATGCAGTTTTCAGATAGAAAAAAACACGTTTTTTTCCTCCTTGTTCGAACAGAGGTTTCGAGGGTTCTCCGCTGTTACAACTATCAATGGGACACCCTGTATAAATGTATTCAGTTGTTAGTGTTACATCTTGGGACATCCTGTAAAAGTGTACTATGTTGTTTCAACTATCCATTGGACACCCTGTATAAATGTATTCTGTTGTTACACCTATCCAGGGGCACCCTGTAAACGTTTATTCTGTTGTTACAACTATTATGGGACACCCTGTAAAATTGTATTCTGTTGTTACAACTATCCAGGGGACACCCTGTAAAAATGTATTCTGTTGTTACAACTATCCAGGGGCACCCTGTAAAAGTTTATTCTGTTGTTACAACTATTATGGGACACCCTGTAAAAGTTTACTCTGTTGTTGGTGTTACATCTACATTGGAACATCCTGGAAAAATGTACTCTGTTGTTACATTTATCTAGGGACACCCTGTAAAAGTGTACTTTGTTGTTAGATCTATCTTGGAACACCCTGTAAAAATGTATTCTGTTGTTACACCTATCCAAGGGCACCCTGTAAAAGTTTATTCTGTTGTTACAACTATCCTGGGACACCCTGTAAAAGTGTATTATGTTGTTACAACTATCCTGGGACACTCTGTAAAAGTGTATTCTGTTGTAACAACTATCCTGGGACACCCTGTAAAAGTGTATTATGTTGTTACAACTATCCTGGGACACCCTGTAAAAGTGTACTCAGTTGTTTCAACTATCCATGGGACACCCTGTAAAAGTGTACTCAGTTGTTTCAACTATCCATGGGACTCCCTGTAAAAGTGTGCCTGTTTTTACTTGAATCCTAGAACAAAGGCAGTCACGAGCCTACAGAGAGTGTAAACCAACCGTCTTCAAATATAAACAATTAGATGTAAAATAATTGAATTTGTTTCCCTTTGAAAGGGACTGTAAGTGTAATTTCAAGTGACCCTCCATGCAAAGATGCCTATGCCGATTCACAACAGCACCTTTTAAAAGCTTTGTCTGATTAAGGATGAATTAGGTATCCGCATTTATAATTTGAAAACTGATTACTTTTATACCACCAATATTTAAGGGGCCTCTTCATGTGATAAAATGGTAATTTTTTTGATAAAACAAAAAAGTACTTCTGATGATATTATTCGGGGTGGGGGGGGGGGGGTGTATCATTGTATAAGTGTTGCCATGATAATTTTTGTTAACATTATGGCAAAATGTAATGCTTAAAAATGAAATAATTGCAAGTATGATATTTTTTGTGGTGAGAAATTCAAGAATTAATAATTTTTACGCTGAAATTGTAATTATGTAATTTGTTATTTATCTTTTATTTGAGAATAAAATATATTGTAGCACTAATTATGAAATTAGGAAGGGCTTCCGGAAAATGAGAACATCCTGCTAATTTGTGAATTTTCTAGAAATTTTGCCAAATTTTTCCAAGATAAGATTTCACATTCCTGAGTCTTGTCATATTTCCGGACTTTAATCTATATCCGGATATTATCTTAATAGCACTAAAGGGTAAGATAGATAGATAAAGAGTTACACTTGAAACTTGATGGATGTAACTTTTTACTTTTTCTTAATATTACATCGAGTTACACAAGGAATTCTGTTTCCGCCGAGTAATCTAAAATGACCCTCAATGCAAAGATGGCAATGCCCGATTTACAATAATACCCTTATAATCTCATCTAAAATGTGGAAGAAATTTTCTGACTCAAAAAGTGTTTATTTCTGTGAATTTTCTCCATTGTTTGCTATAAGCAAGAAATGCATAATTCCTTTTTACAGAAAACTCCAAAATAAGAATAAGCAGTTAAAATAAACAAAATTATGGATATCATTTTATCCTTGATCAGAGAATGCTTTTGTTGGTACCGTTGTAAATAAGATATTTCCATCTTTGCATGGAGGGTCTCTTTAAATTTTTACAGTTTTAATAATGAACAGGACGGGCATCGCTGGGTCTTTAATAAATACATATATATTCGGAATTCCAGATATTTCTATAACTTTAATCCTCATACATTAAAAGATTGTTTTAAATTAAAACAAATATCTATGACGGGTTTGTTTATTCTAATACTTAGTAAAGATAATTAAAGAATGTATTAATCCTAATTGTCTCAGCGGTCCTGAGGGGGGGATAACCCTACCCCCCCCCCTTCACGGTAAGCGTTCACAGACCTCCTACACATACTTTAATCCCCCCGCCCTCCTAGTATAAGATTTGGTTCCCATGCTTGTATTGGCTTGAAGGGTTTGTATTGACTTGTGATGTATGGTCAAACATTAACACAATAATTATATCCTAACATCATAGCAACCATGTTTCCCAATAATATTCGAATTTCCTCTTGGATCACTTTAATCCCTCAATCTACTCAATCACTCCTATCCCATCTACCTACTTCATCAATCCCATCCCATCTACCCTACTTCATCAATCCCATACCATCTACCCTACTCCATCCCTCCTATCCCATCTAACCTACTTCATCAATCCCATCCCATCTACCCTACTTCATCAATTCCATACCATCTACCCTACTCCATCACTCCCATACCATCTACCCTACTCCATCAATTCCATACCATCTGTCCCTAATTCATCAATCCCAACCCATATCTACGTTCTCCATTGATCCTACTTGATCTGTGGTATCCATCCAACCTATTCCATATAACCGCTATTGCAATTTTAATTCATATCAACTCCATCAAATAAAACTTCATCATCCTTACTCGATCTATTGATAGTACTTCACCTATTCCTTTCCTCCATGAAAACGTACTCCATCAATCTCTATTAATCGATTTCTTTTATCAATCCTACTCCAGTACTCCCGCTCCAACTTCAACTTACTTGATCAGTCCTGCTTTGTCGAACGAACGTATCTCTAGGAAATCTACTTAATCAATCCTACTCCGTCAATCCTACTCCGTCAATCTACTCCACCAATCTTGCTCAGTCAATACTGCTCCAACACCATACTCCATAAATCCTACTCCATCAACACTACTCAATCGTTCCTACCCCATCGGACGTGCTCCATCCAAACACTGCATGTAAAACAAACTCTATCCAAAATACTCCCATCAACCCTGCAGCATCGAATCTACTTCGTCTAATTATAATGAAGTAAGTAGTAAGCCTGACAATCCACCTTCTGACAAAAAGAGGGGCATGCTAGATTTACGTTGGTACCCTTCATCGTTTTTCTAGGTTGAAAGTGTTTAATTCTGCATTATCTTATTTAGCCAATTAGCTCTAAGAACCGTTGTGAAACTGTAATTTTTTACAAGATTAGTCTCTCTCTTTCTTTTTTAAAAAAACTCTTTGTTTTTAATGAAAAGAGGGGAAGAGTTAAAGATTTATCAAACAACGGCCATCTATATAATTAGTCGGCCTGGTGACAACATAAATTACCGGCCAGCTGTTGCTTGAGTAAAAGGTTGGATAAAATAATGTTTTGGCAATAATTTATATAGTGACACCTAGCGTGCCCCGGGGGAACTCATTCCTTCTCCATCCTTATAATTACAGGGTACACAGATTGGAAAATTCCTGGACTAGAGATAGGGACTCAACCTTTCTATTCAGCTGATTACTCTTCGTACTATCTACCTATCTAGTTATATAGCTAGCTACTTGTATATCTAGCTTCAATCCATT